CCCCCCCCCCCCAAAAAAAAAACCCAACAAAAAACCCAAACCAAACCAAACCAGAACAAAGAGGGTGAGGCAAAAATAGAGTTCAAACTTTACTTGGGATGTCTGTTTAATAAAAACAACCAACCTACCCCCTTAAACAAGTTATAGCCATTTGTGTGACATTTTGTTGTGCTATCAGTTGGAAACTGTGATTGTTGCTTTAATATTTTCAATAACAAGCCTAGTAGGAAAAAAATAGCTGCATCTTATACCTTTTCCATATTTTTTTAAAGCTAGTATTGACAGAAAGTATCATAATATGGTTTGTGTTACAGGTGGTGTAATACCAAGGGCTGTACTGCTGCCACATCTCAATTTTGTGGGGTTTCAGAGAGTAGTTCTGGTAAGGACACTCAATGATTTATATATATATGTTGTTTTTTTTTAAATAGAGGAGACCTAATATTTTGGTATATATTAGCATCAGACATTATATGCATTCATTTTATTGGTTAGGCATCAATCTTAGCAGGCCGCTGAGTTTTTATGTTGTGTATTATTTTATTTGAAAGTCTTTAACAGCTCCTTTGGAGCTGTTATTTTCTAATGCATAAATCCATATTCGGCTCCTTGAGAGCTGTTATGATATAACACGTTAAACCACAATATGGAAATGTTACATTAAATAGACCTTTGACAAAAACAACTTGGAACAACTATATTGTCTTCTAGAAGTACAGAGCCATTGTCATCTTCATATGGGTCAGCTTTCTTTTAAAAGTTACATGCAAAAGTTGCTTCACTTCAGTTGTATCATGTAAATGCTAAAGCCTTGTCTGGTTAAAAAAAAATTATAATGTGCAATATAGTGGGCGTATATACTCGCACACATTGTGCTTTTACCAGGTCCCTTTTTTCCCCTAGGTTTAATGTTTAATAATGTTTCAGCAGCAATGTTTTGATTTTTTTTTTTTTTAATTTATACATTTATGATCTCACCTCTTGTATTTTCCTTTAATATGCTTCTTTTTTCTTTAGTCTGCTCCCTGTTTCATGACCAGAACTGTAAGGAAAATAGGATTCACTTTAAAAAAAAAAAAAAAAAAAAAAAAAAAAAAAGTGAAAATTTTGTTCTGAACATTATACCACCAGCAACGCTCATATATTGTGTTAGAGCACAATCATGTGCTTGTTCTTTCAGCAGTAGGCAACTGATACTGTACTTGTATCTGTGGAATTTTTAATATATGCTGTAATTTAACAAATGTCTGGTGGGTGTAGCAGATGTCTTTTCCCCACAATTCATTACAGTTTATAGTAAGTCTTGAGCGTGCAGAACCATACATATATAGAGAGAGGACGCTCAGAGTCGAGGGTGTTTATTTTAACTATGCATCTCAAGCAAATAGAGCCACCGAATAATGAATCTTAGACTCAAAATAATGTAAGAACTGCTGTTTTCTGGGTCAGGCCACCTAGCCCAGTTACTGTGTCTCGCACAGTGGATGTTGAGAGGGAGACTGAATAGGATATGTTCCAAATTTTTCACGCCCTGCTCCTCTCCCATTAGTTTCCATTTCATGGACTCCATCCCATAAGGTTCTCTGGTTGTTGTGGCCCCAATCTAGTCAAACACTTAAGTTAGAGGGAACAGTGATGCACTTAAACTTTCAGGACCGATCCCTTCCTTTCTTTGCAGAGCAGTATAGGTTGTTTGAGATTTTCAAAAAGGCCGCACTTGTTCATCATGAAAAAAAACAAAAATGCTGACGTCCTTTGGCTTGGAGATGGTGCTTGATGGCCCCAAGGAGTGCAGAGGGGCCCGTAGATTAAAGAGAAAGATGCCCCTTTTGTACATGTGTATAGGGAAGTGTGAAGATGGAAGCAGTTGACCCTGTGGGCCTGGCATGGGATTAGACTTTCAAAAATTTAGGCAAGGAAGTGGTAGCAGTGTCTGTTTTTTAGCTCACCAAATAAAAGATGTGTGCGCGCACAGTGCATGTAGAGAAATGCATCCTTTGCATTTGTATAAAGACAAGTAGAATAATGAATCCATGATTATTGTCAATCAGCTGGGGAAGTCTGAAAAATCTGAACCTATCCGGTATATAAACTAACTGCAAGTAAAGAAACCAAGATGTCAGGATCTCACTGGAATCCTAGCAGTCCTGTCTTGAGGACGTTGAATGAATAAATAGTCTAAGTATTCTGGGCAGTATTGATTTAGTGCACAATGAAATCTAGAGAAGTCAGCCAGCTTTTTCGTGTGTTAACTTATTTCCCCAACCCATATTTTTTTGAAAAAGGTGTTGTTGTTAGAAGCGTGGGGTTTGCAGTTTTCTTTTTGGGAACTGTGATTCAGATGTTTGAGGTATGCTTACCTTATGCAGTAGTGGACATGGGCGATATTTTAAAAGCCTCCTCCCTGTCATTTGGCAGCCTTGGATAAGAAGAAGCTTTTACGACTAAACTAACAGAGATAGTTACTGCAATTACAAAGTTCCCCAAAAGATGCAGTGAGAATCATTTGTGGGGCGATTTGGAGGCATCTTCACCACAGCTGCCTATAAAATAGCTAGTGTGCGCTCCAGGATATTTCCATCACTGCGGCTGTTTAGCTTTACTAAGCACAAATATTTTCTCTTCACAGTAAATTTTCAAAAGGGGAAACTGTATTAATGTTTCTAATTGCATCCTAGCACCGTGCACCCTTTTCTATAAACATGTAATTTGGTTATTTTACGGTTAGTTTGGGGAAACTGTTTAATTCAAAAGAATGTATTTTTATTTCTTCTTTGTAAATAATTCTTATCATGCTGATGAATGATCATCAGGTTCTGAATAATGATGTTCTTCAACTGGGATTAACTAAGCAATTTGCCAAGAACAAGAGCAGACAGCAATATCCTGAACTGGAAGGAAGAAGAAACAGCACCCTGCTTTTCAGCATCTTGTCCTCCATGATTTTTTTTTTTAAATCTTTTTTAAGCTGATTACTACTAATAGAACCTTTTACACACCCCCTTCCCTTTTTGTGCGTGCAGTTAATGCAGAGCTGCTGATTTTTAAATTTTAAAAAAGCATCTGTCTCTGTATGCACATGTGCAGGCAAAAATGTGGTGGTATACCAGATGTGAACGTATCAAAAATGCCACACTGCTCACAAATCCCCAAAAAACCCTAACATCACACAAATGACATCATGATGATTTCTGAATATCCTTCATAGTTTCATAGACACTAGGGCTGGAAGGGACCTTGGAAGATCATCGAGTCCAGCCCCCTGCCCTAGGGGCAGGAAGTCAGCTGGGGTCACAGAATCCCAGCAAGATAAGCATCCAGATGTCTCTTGAAGGTGTTCAAAATAGGTGCTTGAACCACCTCCAGTGGCAGTCTGTTCTAAACCCTGGGGGCTCAGACAGTAAAGAAGTTACTCCTTATGTCCAGCCTGAAACAATCTCGGAGGAGCTTGTAATCGTTCGACCTTGTCATCCCTTGGGGCGCTCCGGTGAACAAATGTTCCCCCAGTGCATTTAAAAGAAAAAGTGAGAAATTTCTAAAAGTTACGCTGGCTTCAAAAATCTCATCAGAATTATTTAGTATACAAGCAAGCAGCCAGGTTCTTTTCATAGTCAAAAGCCATCTTCATAGGTTTTAGAGGGAAAGAGGAATTTTTTTGATTTTGTATAAAATTAGCCTTAGAACAGTCACTGAAACATGTATATGCAGTCTTCATACACTATTTATTACTGCATGCATGTGTTAGCACATGAGGAAGTGACATAATGTTGAAAGCTTGTAGAGCCACATGGTAAATTCCACTATTTTTGCCCAAGTCTCCCATACACTGCCCACAAAACTATTTCCTGGCTTTCACAGAGTTTAGGTGCATGCATTGTAGTTGGTCTTGGATTGGGGACGAAAAGAAGGTGATTGGGTTATGAGAATAGTATAAGTCATGGAGAGACATAATTACATTGCAACAATCTTTGAAAAAGGGAAATAAAATAACCTCCAAACCCTGCCAATCCTGCCTACATCCCTGCTGAATTTATCATCTGTGCAACTCAACCTTGTATAGTTCCGTCTCCCAGCCCCTAGTGGCAGCTGTAACAACTGCTGTGCAGGTAGTTTGATTGCTTCTGATTTCTGACTGCTTCCCCTGTTAGTTCCCGAACAGGAAAAATAGAGTCTAACAAGGCAGAGAGGGCTCAGGGGCAGGTAGGGGGAAAGCAAGGGGAAAAGATGTGGAGAGCATTCAGCCCCACAAACTATCAGCCCCCGCCCCCTTTTTTTGCTTTTTATACTACTGATAGCAGAGCCTTGCATTTGGATCTGCCCTCACCAATTGTAAATCCCTGCTTGCAGTACTCATCACGTAACTGCCTCAGGAATCTTAATTCCAGCTGTGCCAGAGATTACCACTACTGACTCCCAGCCATAGGCTTCTTTCACCTCCAAAAACTACTGCTGCCAGTTTCCTGCCCCAAGTACCTGCCTCCTCCAAAGTTATCTGTGCTAGTGTCTTCCCCTCACACTCTCATGCCCTTGGAATTAACACTACTTGCAAATCTCATCCTGTGTCTAGACTCATTTCTAACCCCTCATCTTCGCATAGCTAGCTCCCCCAGAAGTTTTGATGCATGTGAGATGTCATATGTTTTATGCTGTTTTTACCAAAAGCAATTGCATAATTAATTGCACCAAAAGGAAGGAATACCGAATAGGTATCGCCAATGAAATCATAAGAGTAGATATGAACATGCTAGGTTGGTTCTTGCCTCATTTTTAAAAAAAGAAGTAAATGTAAAATAGGACACAAATGAAATTGGGACTGAAAATAAATTGTGGAACTAGCCAAATTATGCATGCTGTTTTGCCTGCGACTGCAGTGCCTGTGGGCTATCCAGGCCTGAGAAAAAGGGTTAAGATCACTGGCAATCAACTACTGCCACATTTCCTGTTTGATAAACGGCTACAAGACTTTTCGCGTTTAATGGAGGAAGGCATGCTTGGAATCCTACCTTCCCAAAAAGTGCTACTCATGAGACACTGTTTATTTCTCAGAACAACCATTAAGGTTTTCTATATTTAAAAAAAAAAAAAAACAAAGAAAAATCTCTAATGGCCAAGGCCCAAATTCTTTTTTTTTTTTTTTAAAAAAAAAAAAAAACAAAGAAAAATCTCTAATGGCCAAGGCCCAAATTCTTTTTTTTTTTTTTTAAAAAAAAAAAAAAAAAAGAATTTGGGACTTGGCCATTAGAGATCTTGCTCTGTTTTTTGTTTGTTTCTTCGTATTCAAAGTAGTAGCCCTGACTGCTGCTATAGATAATATGAATTTACTGAATTTGTGGTTTATTACTGTTGCTGTGTTGTTTGGTCCTTAATTTTTCAAACTGTATT